AGTCTGAGAGGGGAAAAGAAAAAGGGCGATATATAAACACTTTTATTTGATATTTGAATTAAAGGATTAATCGATTTATCAGATTTCCAGTTACTGTCTAAATTATTATCGATAAATGAACAATGTTAGCACTATGTAAGATATAACACGGTGTACTGAATGAGTGAAATTAAGTTAATTTATCCACATTGCTCAAGCTTTTTAAGAGATCATAACATCAACCCTAATAAATAACTCATGAAGGCAACAATACTTCATATCCTCCAGCTCTAGACTGTTTAATATAATTCCTTGCAGCACTGTTTCTTTAAAGTTTAAAGGTTATTTCTATATCTATCACCTTGTTTAGTTTATCTGTGTACATGATTTCCTTCTTCCTGTAAAACATAATGCTGATTACCGGAAACCACTGTAAGTTTGATTTCAGGGACTCCTATGTTATAGTGTTTAAGTTTGGTTTCACTACTTGTTTTTAGCTGCACTTGTATCCTGAAGTTGATTTGCTCCATTTATACAGCAAGCTGAAAAAGCTGAGTGAAGACAGTTTGACCAAACAACCAGAGGAAGTGTTTGATGTTCTTGAGAAACTTGGTGAAGGGTAAGATGACTAACCTCCACTTCTCTGAACATATTTTAAGTCCATCAGATCAGAAGTTCATCAGGAGTACTATATACAATTACGTAACTTGTGTGTTCTGTGTTTAGTTCCTATGGCAGCGTGTTTAAAGCCATCCATAAGGAGTCAGGCCAGGTGGTGGCCATCAAGCAGGTTCCTGTGGAGTCGGATCTGCAGGAGATCATCAAGGAGATTTCCATCATGCAGCAGTGTGACAGGTTAGACCAACATTCCCTAAACCTCCAAAATTCACTATATATATTACGTTAAAACATCCTTATTGTCCGCAGATCACCAGGTTTGCTTCCATAATTCACCTTGCTCTAAGTTAAATGTTTGATTTAACAGTGCCATCAGCCTCTACAGCCCTCTGATGTCTTGACCTACAAGAGTTTTCTCACTTCTGCTCTTTTTGCTCTAAACGGAACTTTGTCTTCTCTTTTGATAACCGCTCTGTTTGGCATTTCCTCCTAGCCCTTACGTAGTGAAGTACTATGGCAGCTACTTCAAGAACACAGACCTGTGGATTGTCATGGAGTATTGTGGAGCCGGCTCTGTCTCTGACATCATTAGACTGCGCAACAAGACGGTGGGTGTTTGCAGAGAATTACAGTTGCACACAAATGATAGGAGTTAATATTTCTATCATATATTAATCAGCATGGATTGCATATAATGTATATATCCTCGACTGGTATACACACCAAACA